CCTCAATGCCACCATGGTAATCAACAAGTAATGTTGGACAGGGCGCCACTTGAGAGAACCCCTTTTCCTTTCTAGTGACCGTGGTTGCAGTGGTAGCACAGCCGGTGGCAATCAGGTTCACAGGCTTCGAGTCCATCCAGGACACAGCAACCGGCTCTGGGTAATCCCAACACTGGGCAACGCGATACGTTCCTCGAGCGATCGCCGCTTATTCTGTGTGAATGCGAGCCCGCTTGGCCATCCGAGACGGTCACTTCGGTGCGTTCCGACGTAGTAGTATCCTTTCTCCAGTAGTGCAATGGCTAGCGCGCACGATGAGTAGAAGTTGTCCGCAACCACAAGCCGTTTCCCTGACTGTCCATCCAGTTCCTTGGTGACGTTGCGAATTACAGCTTTCTGGGCGACACCCTTGGCCTTCTCTTTGACTGCTTTCCGCTGTGCAGGAGTCCGCGCGTTCTTCGACTCATCCGAGGCTCCCATGTAGACTTCAATGCTGAACCACACAGAATAGCAAACAGGCTAGTCAGCTAATTCTGTATTAGACAGAAAATGATATTCCGTACCATACAGAACAAGCTGCTGCCCAGCAGCACTTATTCTGTATAGTATAGATTAACAAGTCTGTATTATACCGAATACGTACCGAGAGCAATATCCGGTTTCCGCGCAGCATGTCGTGTACACCTTCGTCCCGTACTTGTGCGGTTTATCTTTATTGTACACGCGCACTGGATTGAACTTGCTTCGATTGGGAATAGTACCCTCGTCAAAGCTAATGAGTGGTCCAAGTCGAGATCCTCGGCGAAACGTCTTCTCCAGTGTCTGCAGTACGGGTCGCACCTTCCAGGTCTTGTCATTCGTTGCAGCTTCTGCCGAATAGCTCTGAAAATGGAGGTACCGCATGATAGTAGTGAACCGATCCGGACTCATGTACCTGTTTAAAGTGCCCCGGGGTACTGCTCCCTCTTCTTCAGTCCCCCAGTGCTTGTCAAGGCCGTATGTGTGACTGCACAATGAGAAGACCCACGACATGCAAAATTTCGTGAGGCTTGATCGATCTCGTCTTCTTCAGCTTGTCCACCAGTACCTCAAGGGGCAGCACTGGCTTTGTACGGTCCTTCGTATGAGCCTCAAGTTGTTTAGCACGTTGGGCAGCAGCGACGCTTGGTATGCACTCAATACGATACGCCTCGGAAGCCTCCGCAATCTGATACCATAGCTTCTTGGGGAGAAAGTAGAAAAACATTCCCAGCGGGGAACTAGCAAAGGCAGCGGATGACCTGGTGAGTCCCCAAGATCCGTCGTATAAGTCGGATGCTCCAGCTAGCTGCAGGTCACCTATATTCCGGATTGTACAGAATTACAAGCGTGTTAGAGCTTCCACCATATACAGCATGCATGGGCGTATTCTGCATAATACTGACTTACTGCTGTGGTTTTGATCGTAGATCTCCCAACCAGATGAAGCCATAGCACGCATCGCTGCATCATCTTGGGCAAACTCGCTGCTGTCGTCTTCAAACTCGTTATCCAATTCCACCTCGCTTTCGTAGCTATCTGAGAGATCCACAGGTGCTTCGACTGGATCGCTGACTGACTCGGCTTCTTCTTGTGACACCAACGCATGAGCAGCTATGTTCACATCGTCCGCATCAACAGGACCAAAAGTCGCTCAGACCTCATCGCGTCGATAAAACGGGGGGAATCAAATGCATCCAAATCGACTGCATTAGTCACGTTCACACCGCCGCCTTGTTCTGTAGGAGCCGTCACAGCACTAGTAGTGCTGTTAAAAATCGGGGGCACCGGAGGTAATCGTTTTTGAGCTGCTGCGTAGGCAGCCTGCTTGCCCATGGGTGGTCGACCAGTGTTCGCAAAACTCCGAGGAGGGGAGGAAAGAGGCGGTATCAACCCCTCACGCGTAGCAAATGTCCATAACGCTTTTGGTCCTATTACATTCGCCGTTAGCCAGCATGATTTCACATTTATAGCCGAAAAAACGCACCAACAAAGTACTCCACGCCTGCCCTGTCCTCCTGAAGCTGACCCTTCACCCCCGGCTTCACATACGTGTGGCCCGAGTTCAGACCTGTCGAAGGTCTTGCTCTCCATCCAGCCTTCGTCAGCGAGCGCCATAGGAGCTTGAACGCTTTCTCGTCGATCCAGTCTGTCATTGTTGGCCGATTTCGCGAAATGAGTGGCAGCGTGTGTGTGTGTGTGTGTGTGTGTGTGTGTGTGTGAAGGGGGGGATGAGGTGGAGGGGATGCAATTATAATTTAAAAACCTCTGGCCACGTTATACTGTCTTTTCTATGCCGCGGGAATACTGGCCGTCTATCTCCCCCTCTTCGATCCATAATGATAAAATACCCCATCCCCGCATTTACAAACTTTCATATGCGGAGAACTTCTGTCGAAACTCGTGTATATAACCTTGTGACATACTACCAACTGTCATTTTGACTATTCTGTATAATACAGAATTCCGTACTAAAAGGGTTAAGGACTTTAAATTCCCTAAACTAAAACCATCTGATGATGATCTTGATGAATTCAGAAGCAAGCGTGAGGCTATGGCTAAACCGAAGAGCCGTACGGCTCCGCACTTCGCGGAGTCGCGCGGCGACAGCACCTTCGTGAAAATTAAAAAAAAAACTAAGAAGATAAGGGGACGCGGTTTGATGGGGGCTGGTGTGCAACCTCTTGAAGGTGCTACGCGACGCAAGGGTCAAACATACAACCTTAACGATATTCAGAAATTAGCTACTCCATCGGCATATATCTATCGTAAGCTTGGTTCCAAGTTCATTCGACTACCTGATGTTGATAAGAAGACACTGACCACCTGCCAGCCAAATCGACGAAAATGTGGTCCGATGCGAGAGATCAGCTACTCTCTAGAAAGCATGATCAAGGATCTTATATTCAACAACGAATTGAGTCAAGATAAGTACGATAATCTTTCGATAGACGATAAGAAGTTATTTAAGGAAGTCCTGTCAATCACACATCTACAATATAACTTCTCGGAACAGTTAGAAGATCCGCTCGAATCTCTTCGCATGTAGTATAATAAGCTCAAGGGAGAGCTAATGTTAGGTAATGATAACCCCTCGATCTTGAAACAGCTGAAGGTGGTTTGCGTGGCTATGTACTCGAATAAGCTAATTTCCGATTCTGAGTTCAAAAGCATTATAACTCGTCTATTATAAGCATGTTAGTTCTCGATCCACGCATCATCTCCAAGACCTCGGATCTCTACCAGTTCCAAGCTGATAAGAACCTAGCTGAACTCAAAAGCTTGATGAAGGATCTCATCATCAAGGAATCTCCGTATCAAGAACGTCCAACAGTATGGGCATCTGACTCAAAGCCATACGATACGAAGTCAGTATCGACTCAGACAGATGCCGTAGCTGGTGGGCGTACGTGGGCGTATCAGCCGAAGCGAAAAAAAAAAAACAACCAAAGACATTTGCTCTGTAAGCAAGCCTAGCAACATTTTTTTTTTAGCTCATTTACTTGGTCAATAAGGTCATTTATTTGCCTTTGCTGACGGAGCGCGAGCTTATGGAGTAGACAGCTCATCTTGCTATAATCGACACAGAATTGCTTTCCAGGTAAATCGATTGATTCATCCTCTACATCAAGGTTAGGATTATCGACGATATTTATGCATTGAAACAATCCTGCCTTCAGTAAAGATTGAGCGTCAATTTTCATCGGAGATCCCTCTTCATCGTTCGTATAATTAAAATAGCACGGTTCCACTTTTAATAAGTCTTCTCAAACATCTTATTCAATTGGTTCAAAGTTTTTTCCAATCGAGCATCGAAGTATGTTTAGTAAGCTGTAGAGCTAAGCATACTACCAGCACAGGCTATTGCGATTGGAACTGATGCGATAGGTCCTACAGTACTTATCAGACCTCCTGATTGCTTGAAATAAGCAACGCCTGTAGCGCCTGCGTCAAGGGTTGTAGATACCGTAATAGCACAATAAAGACCATATAGAGGAGAAGTGGTGCCGATGCCGACTCTGCCCGCGTTCGTACCCCCTAAACTGATCTGTCCGGGTTACGGTCGAATTATGCCTGCGTTATGTCCGTCTGGGTACGTGTGCAGCAAGGTAGCGCTCGCGTCACCGAATAGCCTTTGTCCAAGAGGATTATACTGCCTCGAAGGCACAGCCACGTCCGACGGGTTCCGGAACGATACGAGGTTGAGACCGTATCCGTGTCGATCGGGTACTGTCTCAACGGAGTCGTAGCTGACGAGGTTCGAGTGGGAGGCTATCGCTATCCGCAGAATTGTACGGCCGGTTTCTACTGTGCGTTACGAGCTTCATAATCTAGAGCTTCTAGAAGCTTTGCGCGGTTTTGGTTATCCAACGTAATTAAACCATCTACCGGAGCTTTGAGTTGGTACGCCATCCCAGCAGGAGAGACATCCAGATTAAAACTGACGCTTGAAACAAATCCAACGTCATTTTCGTTAACATTCAGAATGTGCTTCTTGTCCACACAAACTAAAGCAGGAAATAGATAAGAAAGTGCGCGGACTCCACCTCAGCAACTATATCCTGGTGAGCATTTCCGAATCTCGCAACGTCGACCATCTGGAGCATTCTCAAGATGAGCATAATAGCCCGATGGGACACTGGTGTAACGAATCCACTTATCTTGCTCGGTTCGTGGAGCAGATCGTACTCGCGTGTGTGCCTCCTGCGAGTGTCCCGGGTTCATCGAGTTACCGCACTTCAACACACTGCTGGCCAACAGGTTTCAAGCTGATCCCTGTGCCGGAACGTCGCCGTCCCTATTTTTTATTTACTTTCTCTCTTCTCGTAGCTAGCCTAGACGCTAACTAAAGAAGTGTTCGTCTTTGTGCTTCGTTCTTCGTTCTTCGTGTTCCTCCGCTCCGTAGCGCGTCCACTACAGTTCGTCGGATGCGTCCGTAATGTCCAGATCCGCGTACTTAACCTTAGCAACGACCTTCAATGTCGCCACTTCGGCCCTCCGTCAGTTTTCTTCGTAAACGTGTAGTTCTGCCGGGGGGCGCTTCTCTGTCGACTCCGTCCGCCTTCGTTCTTCGTTTGTCACCTACTTACGCGCTCACTCCTCTATCGGGTGCCACAAGCAAAGACAACACACCTCGTGCGTCTGCCTCACTCACTTGTGTTCTGCCCGCCCGATTTCAGAGTGAGTGCTTCTCACTCCTCCTTATGGTCGCGTGTTCTCTCCGCCTGCGACCCTTCACGGTTCCGTTACGAACGATCCTGCGTGTCCACCACACGTTGTTGGGTTCATTCGACTCTTCGTCGGAGCCGTTCATCCACCGGTCCTGCTGGAAGATCTCACCCGCAACCGTCGTGACTACATCGTGCCACACTAGCCTGTTACACTGGTAAAGCTGTAGTAAGAGCTGGCTTGGGAGAGTGATAGCACCAACTGTAGACTATAACTCGATCCTGGCACAACAGCGTCGAAAGTGGCAGGTGTAGCATTATCATTAACCACCACCAAAACAAAGCCTGACGATGCAGCATCGATTGCACTTTGAGAGATGCCATATCCTTTGATCCAGATACGAAAAGTCGATGGAAACACCGCCAGTTTTGTGCCAATAATAATTGCAATTCCACCAGTATCCATCGCGGACAAAGTCGGCATATAAGTAGCACTTGCGGACGCGTCAGCATTTATCACTGAACTTTGACCCCCCGTTTCAGAATACATTAAAATATCCACAGAATTTGTAGTCTGAGCAAGATTTCTCGCTATTTCTCCGTTTATACTCGCAAAACTTTTACAGGTCGTAGCAGTAGTAGGGCACAAATTGATGTCAATTTGTTCTATCCAACCGGTCGCATCGTAATGTGCTAAAGCTTGTAAAAGACGTTTTGCGAAAAAAGAACTGATCTTTTCACGACAACCTGCGACTCGGCTGCGAAGATTGACACGACATGTTGACCCCCATGATGACACGAGCGAAAAAGCGAGAGATCCATTCTTTGATCGTGGAACTACAACAGAACCATCCAACAGCACCATGACACCCCAATTGAAGCCAGCAACTGGCATTTGAAACTCGTACTTCGGATTAACTTGAGACTGTTCGAAATACGATATACTTATGTTGTACGCGAATCCAAAAGACCAGCCCGTCTTAAAAGAAAGTCAATTTCACGTCTTGAAACTCAAAAATATCAGTTGAAACAGCCGCACCGCTGTTCAAGGCAGACACAACACCTTGAACAAGAGAGACATTCGTCTCGCCAGGCTGTTTCGATAGAGGTGCAAGTACGTAAGAAATGGACGCCGGGGATAACGCGACTTGGCCAACGCCACTTGGAGCATCTGGACATCGGCTGATGCTCCCAGCTTTGCAAACGCATCCGATGGCACATCGACCAGACCTGTTTGGTCTCCGAACCGAGTTGGAGGACATTGATATACTATACCTCTCCGGCAGTAGGATCCTCTGGGCAGGGTAATATTCCAGGTTGCTGGTTGTTTGCCATTGCACCAATGGCGTAGTAACCAGGTGGGACGATAGTCGGACCAGAATTCCCTTCTGGGCAGTACACGCTTCTTGAAGGGCACACAGCCAAGGTAGTATAATCACAGGAGACACTACTTTGCAAACAGTAGAATCCAGCTGGGACTGCGCTACAATATAGCTGTTCTGGCTTCGAGTACGTTCCATTTGTGCACGATAGGAGATCAGTTTTGGACATTTGGTCAAATGGACCTGCGTACCCCTCCGGTACACTGAGGCATTCACTCGATCCAGCGTCGGCAAATGTACCTGCTACACACTTTACTGGCGCTGTCGGCACTTGAATCCCAGTGGACAAGAAAGACACGCAGCGCTATCTGGAGCTCCAACTGAGGGGCCGTACGATCCAGGAGAACAAGCATTACAGGCCTGTGAACGTGGCTCAGAATAAGTACCCGCAGGACATTGAGAGCATCCTCCAATCTTGGATACAACAGTACCTGGGGCACCTATCCGGTCGTAACAAAAGAGTAGAGAAATCATACCCATCGACATTGTCCCAAACAATACTCCCGCTCTTCTGGCACCAGCTCTGTGCCCACGCAGAGTAGGAAGAACAAATTGGAAGCATATCAAACGGCGCGTTTAGATCCGATCTTGTCGAGCTGAGGCAATCAGCGTACCAGAATCCACTCCGACTTTTCTTGGCGCAGTTCTGACTTGCAGACAAAATCGTTATCCTGGTCGGGTGTGCTGAAATATGTGTTTGACAGGGAAGTTAGGGCATTGGTGGCATAACTTGCTGTGGCATTGTACCCACGCACGGTCAAGAGGTATTTTTCATTTTCGCTAGCAACGTGAAAGCCACTGTAAAGCGCAGCCAGAGATTGATAATCCTTCCATACCACGACCATTGCCTCAGTAGCTCGTGCCGTAATAGTTGCAAGGATGTTGTTTCCAATCCACCATTCACTTGTGGAACCCAAGCCGAATCCGTCGCGGTATTCGTTCCAATTGCGATTGAAACTTGTTTTTTCCATTGATACACGACGCTGCGCTATTATCCAGCCATCTGAACACTGAAGACTTACAGGATCAACGTTAGAATCTAGCTGAATGTAGTACTGGCCGTCTGGATTGGGACCTCCGTTTAACAGGCGTTCAGTTTTCAGATGCATGCATGAAACAGCTAGATTGACCATCGATAATCCTAGTGGCGTTTTGAAAGTATATTCCACCTCCATCGATACCTCGTCAATTCCAAAGGCACTGATGTTTAAAGATCCAAAATCAATGCCAAACCGAAGTTGTGTGGTATATCCGATAAAGCCGCGAAGTACAAAGCGCTCTCTCCCCCTGTAAAAGTACGCTTGTCCGGCTGTAGTAGAGCGCTCTCCGTAGCAAGCATACGTCACGGATGTGTCAATTTGCACTTGCCGAACGAGTTGAGAACCGAGATGAACACGAATGGTCTTGGGCTCCGAGCTTTTGAGAAGAAGTGTGACCCAGTACAGTGGATCAAACACAAAGTATTACGTAAACTTGATCCGCACATTCGTCGGTTTGTCACTTGAAGTGATCGGGGCCACTTTCTTGCTTACAAATGAGCCTGCACGTGCAAACGACTTTCCACCAAGAAGTAAAATTCCTTGGCAAAGTTGGTACCATTTATCTGTATTGCTCCACGACGTAACACTCTTCGACAAATGGACAGAGTGTATTGGATGGTCTAAGCTTAAATTTTGACCCCCGTGGTTTAGCGACGACGAAGTACCTATGCTCAACCAATGATGTTAGCCCGTCCATGTCGTGGAGCTTCGTTCTTCAAGACTCCTTTATCGGAAGTGGTGGCGACAATCTGTGGGAGCCAGAAACCCACCATCGGTCACTTGAACCTGAATAGTGACCTCTGACGTGGTTTCGAAATCGAGAACACCAGGCGTGAGTATCGTAATATCACCGGTCACTGAGTTTACTGAAAACCACTCGTGTTAAATAGACTGAATCAGCGAGAGGACCAAATTGGATTTGTATCATAATCAATCGTTTGGATTGTCATAATGAATTCTCCTTTCGCTGCGTTCTCTCGGATGAAACCTCGTTGTCCTGTTAAAATCACTGGAGCTTCATTCACATCTTCCAACTGAATAGAAATTGTAGTGTAAATCGATCGTGGCATTTGTGCGTCATCCGTG